AGTTCATGTCATACTTGAAATCGCCGCCTGAGTGAGTCCATGTTTTACAAATCGCTGACTGAGTCCATGTTTTGCAAGTCCAGTCCAGTCCATGTTTCACAACATGCCATGTAGCCCCGACGTTTGAAACAGGCTTTACTTACAATGTCACAATGATGTACGATATATGTATAACTGTATAAGGACACTGAATGAATGAATGAATTGAATTTGTTCAAAGATTTTGGGCTACGCTCTTAAATAATCGACTTTATACCTGAATTATAATAGTGACTTTTCTTGCGGCTAACCTAATCAACAATTCGATTCGACACTAGAGCGATGTTGGAGCGGTGTTAAATCAAAGGTCGAACTCAATATATCGCTCCCGAATGAAAATCACCGTTTAATTAACAAAAGTATGTGTAATTCATGGAATAAGATTTAGGTTTGGCGCATCAGTGAGAAGAGCGACGTTTGATCCCGGCCTTGAAATAGTTTGTTTGCTCTACTGAACTCAAAATATCTGCCGTTAAGTCTTAGCACATAAATACGAATTGTTCAGCACAGAGGAAAGTATTGACTTTCGTTTTACCTGAAACGAATATGACTTTCTCTTCCGAAATCAGTACTCCCGCTTTGACTGTTAGTGTTACTGTAAATAGTCTGATGTTTGCCAGAGCAGGCTGAGAAGCTAGACAATTTTACTCGTCAAAGACAAAGAGAGTGCGTGCCAGCTCAATGGGTTGATACAAACTAACTATATATATACATACACATTGAGATATATATCAGAAACGTTTTTCTTACCTTAATAAAAGTATATAGAACTGATATGACTGGAAACGCATAAAATAGTATTAAATAGTAGTGGATGAATCTTCGCCAATGCGATGGGTCGGCACGTTTTTCAAATTTCAAGTATTTTTTTATTTTACCTGTTTAATATTTCATTTGCATTAATAATAAATTATGTCCGTTGGCTGACTTCGCCACCCCCCCCCCCCCCCCCCCCCCCCCCC